ACAGCACTTAGGAACTCAGATGATGTTGTGCATTTTGCAAATGTGTTGCAAAAGACCTCTCTCAAGTATTTTAAAGCAAAGATGTAACTTCAAGGACTAAGGTGCACCTGACCTACACCATATAATTTTCTATTTCCTCATATGCTAGTGAAAGCGAAACAATAAAGAAAGACTGAAGAAGAATCGATGCATTTTGGGTTGTGGTGTTGGTGAGGAATATTCAAAGTACCATGAACTGCCAGAAGAACAAATTTGTCTTGGAAAATTTGCTCCTTGGAAGAAAGAATGAAGAGACTTCATCTTACATACTTTAGACATGTTGTCAGAAGGGACCAGGACCTGGGGAAAGTAATCGTGCTTGGTAAAGGGGTGGGTCAGCCAAAAAAGAGGAAAACGCTCAGTGAGATGAAGTGACTGGTGACTGTAAAAACAGGCTCAAATGTAACATTTATAAGGATAGCAGAGGACAGGGAAGTGATCATTGTGCATGGAGTCTCTGGGAGTCAGAGCTGACTTGATAGCGCCTAACAGCATGTGAAATCTAAGGAGCTCTGCTGACACAATACACCACAGAGATGAAACAGTCAGGTGCTGGCTAAAAGGCAGGCAGCTGCTCTGCGGGAGAGAGATGTGGCAGCCTGCTTCCATAAAGTTTACAGCCTTGGAAACCATATAGGGCAGTTTTTCTCTCTCCTATAGTAGGGTCAGAGTCCTGGTGTGGTGCTGTGGGCTAATGCGTCAGACTGCAAAGCCGTTTGAGTTGCAAGGTTGGTGATTCAAGCTCACCAGCTGCTCCTGGGAAACCCTATACAGGGTCGATATGGGTCGGAATCAACTTAACAGCAATTAACAACAACATAGTAGGGTCACTAAGGAGCTCTGGTAGTTTAGTGGTTATGAATCTGGCTGCTAGCCTCAAGGTCAGCAGTTTGCAGGAGAAGGATGAGGCTTTCTGCTCCCGTAAAGATTTACAGCCTTGGAAACCCTGTGCAGGGTCACTCTGAGTCGGAACTGACTCCACAGTACTTAACAACATCAACAACATAAGGTCACTAGGAGACAAAATCATTTAAACAGCAACAAGGTTAGTTTCTTTCGTTTGTATATAATCTTTTTTTTTTCATAAATCAGAAGTTATTAAGTTTATCACTAACATATCACAGAAAGCCACATTTCTTTGGGTCTAGTAGTTAGGATTCCAATATATTTGGAGGGGACAGAATTCAATTTTTAACAGCGGCCTTTTGTATGGTCACTCAGAAACCCAGTGTCCTTCCATTTTGTGATTTCATCATTCCCTCAGCATTTTGGATCTTGCACTTCCAGCCAACAGAGAGATAAAGGGAAGAGGATCACATGGGAAGTTTTGAGTCAAGCTTAAAAAAAAAAAAAAAGAAAAGAAAAGAAAAAGTAAAGGTAAAGTAGGTAAGCCTTCATACCAACTAGGCGGAATTTAGTCACATGACATCTAACTACATGAGGAGGAAGAACCATGGCTTAGTGAACACATACAGTTCTTATTATAGTTCAACAAAGAGTTGCTGAATGCATATGATATAATACTATATCATCTGATAGTTCTGGGCATCTTGCTGGGACCCAAGATGAACAAGGCAGACTCGCTATTTTTTGAGTCACAAATGGATACCGTAAGAGTAGTAAACACATGGAAACTCAGAGGACAATTCCTAGCCCAATCTGGGGAAGTCTCAGTAGAGGATACACTGGTGCTGAGTCTTAAAGATGAATAGATTGGGATTAAAAAAAAGAAAAGACAAGAATCAACAAAGAATGAAAAAAAGCAAAAGGAACAAGCAGAATCGTGTGGAGAACTACAAGTAGTTCGTGATTATCATAGCACCAAGAGTGAGCACAGGGTTAGGGGCTGAAGCTGTGAAGAGCCTGCTATGGGGAGCCTGGCATGCTCTATCGAGGCATCTGGACATTTCAATAAGCAACGGGGGGAAAACAGGGTGTTTAAAAGAGGGATAAGGTTTCACTTGCCGTTTGTTTTTTTTTAGAAGTGCATCACCAAGCCCTTCTTCTTCTCATCTGTTTTAGACTGGAAGCTCCACTGAAACCTCTCCCCATGGGTAACCTGGCTGGTATTTCAAATACCAATGCCATAGTCTCAATGAAGCAATTGAAAATACCATGGCTTTGGTCAAGCACACTTAACACTTTAAAGGTCTTTTGCAGCAGGTTTACACAATTGCAATATGTCATTTGATATCTTGACTGCTGCTTCCATGGGTGTTGATTGTGGCATAGCTTCCAAACATCACAACCACATAGAAGCCACCATGGTATGACAAACTGACAGATGAGTGGTGATGTTACAAACTAAAATGTTGTCATACAGAAACTGGAACCAGGAATGGAGTGTCAGATGTAAAAGGTGGAGCTGGTTGACAGAGGTAGGGAAGACCAACAGTGAGTTTTCCTATCTTTGGCTGAAAAGCTGCTTTTCAGGGAAACTTTCACTGTTTCATAGTTACATGGAAATGATGCAACCACTTAAACTGTTGCCTGGTGTATTTTGTGCCTCTGCAATGCTACCAGCACCCTACAGATTGGAATTTTATGGACTTGGTAGAAAGTTATCAGGATACTGGAGTGAGAAGTGGAAAAGCCAGATGCCCAGCCTTCTCCCCAGCATCTCTACCACTGTAGCCCCTGCCTAACAATAGTCATTGTTGTAAAGTGCCATCTAGTTGGTATCAATTCATAGCAATACTGTACAGGGATTCTCAGGCTGTAAGTCTTTGCATGAACAGAAAGCCTCATCTTTCTCCCACAGATGGGAGGACAGCTGACTTTGTGGTTCACAGTCCAGTGCTTATCCTACAGAGCCATCGTGCTCCTAACAAAGGTCATGTTGTTCTTAAGTGCCATCAAGTCAGTTCTGACCCATAGCAACACTCTATAGGGCTTCTGAGGAGCAGATAGTGAGCTTGAACTTCCAACCTTGCAGTTCAAACTGACTTTTCAGTCCAGCGCATTAACCCACAGTACCACACCAGGACTCCAACAAAGGTCATAATCACGCTGCAATCAATACTGAGGATGAAGTCAGTCCCCAACTTTCATTTTTGTCACAGCCACACTAAGATAAATGCTTATACTTAAAAGTCTAGGAGAATAGGACAAGTCTCACAATTATAGCTAAGGGAATGAAAACACAAGGGTTCAGAGATCCTGATTTATCAAGATTTTTGGTACTTGTTACTAGTCAATGAGCCACGGGAAATTAGGTTAGTCACAGATGGTTTCAAACAAAGTTTTGCCCCTTTGGCAAGCAGAGATTTGTGACTGTTGCTAAAGCAATAGAGAGTCCATCAGAGGAAGTTTCTGAAACATCTTTATAGGCATGGTCATAAAGTCAACGGGCAGGGGAGAGTACATAGTATTCAGCCTATCAGAAAGTAGGTTCTAACTTCCAGATAGGCTGAAGAAGGAACTCACTCCTCAGCAAGAGAACGGAGCCAACAGAAAGACCGCACTAGCCCTATTAGTCTGGAAGATGTTGCTTCATCTTCTGCAACCATTTCTAAGTGTGGTACAATCTTGTGGCTGTTCCTTTCCTACCAACTTCCTATCTCCATATGTTGTTTGTTGTTAAGTACCATGGAATCAGTTCCAACTCATAATGACCCTGAACAGGGTTTCTGAGGCTGCACATCTTTATAGGAGCAGAAAGCCTCATCTTTCTCCCGTGGAAAAGCTGGTAGTTTCAAACTGCCAACCTTGAGGTTACCAGCCCGATTCCTAACCACTACGCTACCAGAGTGCTTTATAGGGGCCACCATATTATTTCCAGTCATAGGAAAGTTTTCTATTGCTCTGTCTGCCTAACAATAGCTCATTCGTACAATCTGAACATGTGACATACAGAGAATGAAATGGTCAGTCACAGAATGCATGCTCATCCTTGAAGGGTCTGGCAAAAGACCTTACTTACCTGCAAAACAGGGTTCTCACTTAAGGTAAACAAAAAGCTACAGAAACCGACACAAAACAAAGATTTTATGCAACATTTTTTTTAATTTATCTTATCCTAACTTTGGCTTTATTCCTCACCTTTACCCATTCCCATTCCTTTCTTGGAAATCCAGTTATTTGTGTTTTTACACAAAATGTTCACAATTATGTTTATCTAGAGTTATAGCAAAACTGTCTTCTTTTCAGAAGGGTCAAAAATCCCACAGTTTATTCTTATGCAGCATTTTCAAATATACGTATTAATATAATTTTATAAATGATTTAAAATACAACCCTTCATCCTTTGAGGTTACTGAGAGTTTAGAGTTCACTGACACAAATCCCAGAATACAATAATCCTATTCATTTTCACAAATGAGATGGGAAGTACACTAAAAAATAGGGTGTTCATCCCTGAGGTGCCAGTTAAATTGGAAAAAGTTGCCATTGCAACAGAAGATTTAAAAATTAGCTATAAATAATAAGCATGGATCATACTATCTGGATCAAAATTTCCTCCATAGCATGGAGTTATTTAGAAAATTGCATTTACTGAGCTAAGTTCACCCTGCTCTTTCTAGCCCTCATGCTACAACAATCTTTCCTTTTGCAAAGGAATAAGAAAAAAGCCTCGAAATCTGTAGAAACCTCTGAGAGCCTAAGAAGTACAGCTAAACCACGGTCCCCTTTCTCTTCTTGCCACACACATGGCTGTAGACCGTTTTCCAGCACCATTCCAAGACTAGGAAAGGTAGATGAACTGACTTGGGTTTTCTATTTCTCTACCCATTCACTCAAACAGGAGCAAAAACCAGCTTCTCTGGCTAGAAAATGAGTTGGCCTGCTTTTCTCTGCTGCCATTAACAAAAAGCCAGGCATTTGTTCCTTTCCAATCAGTTTATGTCCATCAGCAGAACTGAGTTCAGCTCCCTGTGTCCGACCATTCTTGTGCAGACCCTGTCCCTCCTTGGCGACTCCCAGCAGCTCAGCCTACGGATACTGCACTCTTGCCCCATTCTCTAGTAGTAGCAGTTCAGGCTTCTGGTTCCAAGCACCTCAGGCTGGCCATTCATCCAGATCTCCCTGATGATACGTTCCCGTTCCTCCAGTCTCTGGGCTCGCTCCAACTCCTCGGCAGAGGTGAAGACATTCTTATTCAAAGTCATCTGGAAGCGGCGGTGTCTCCAGGCCGAGAGGTCAGATGCATTGTCAGAGCTGCTGTCCTCACTGTCACTGCTTTCATTGTTGCTCTCTCTGTCCTGAAGGAATTTCCTCTTGGGAGGGCGCCGCCGGCAATCTGTGCGGCAAGAGATTCTCATCACCAAGGCAACCAGGGTGAGGACCAGTCCAATGCACACACCAGAAACAAAATAAAGGGCTGCTCGCTCAGGATTTTCTGGAGGAAGAGGAGGAAAAAGGAGTATTTGAGTGATGATAACGCCATACACAGAAACCAACTATGACTCCAGTCCATATTGCACACCTCTCATAGAGCTCCAAAGTTTCAATGGTTACAAACTGTGCCCTCCTCTGGTAGCACTGTGCTTACCAATCAGGTTGCTAATCTCAGGGTCAGCAGTTCTAAACTACCAGCTGTTCCATGGGAGAAAAATGAGGCTTTCTGCTCCTGTAAAGATGTACAGCCTCGGAAACCCTGTACAGGATCGCTATGAGTTGGAACCAATTCCACGGCACATAACCACCAACAACCACCATAAGACAAGTTTCTTAGAGCATTCAAAATGTAATTACTGACCAGTGTTGAATTTGGGTCAAGGGCATACAGGGTTCTTTTCTTATTCTTGCAACTTTAAGTTTGAAATTCTTTCAAAATGAAAACTTAAAAGAAAATAGAATTTTTTAGCAATTGTATTTGAGAGATAGTACTTGTCAAAAACCCCTTTTTAACAATAACAGAAATATCTTTATTTCTGAATTTGTTTGCACAACCGTGGAATTACCTTTTCATTACAGTAGTAAGCAGCTTCTAAAATGTACCTCCACACGTTAGAGTGGATTTATAAAGACAGACTCATAAATACACACATGGACTGCCCAGCAGATACACCTTTCACCACCAGAGTGAGGAACAAATTTGTGAAGGGAGCCTCAGCCTCCTTGAAGACCGCTGTAATTGCTGTTTTATGTAACCCAGATTTTGACAGTAGGAACCTCTGACACAGATGTAAGATACCTAACTACAAAGTGAGAGTCCTGATATGGCACTTTAGTATGAGCACTTGACTTATACCAGCTGCTCCTTAGAAACCCTATATAGGATTGCTATGGGTTGGAACAGACTAAACGGCACTTAACAACAACAACAAAACTACAATGCAGTTAATTTGACCCCGTTGTGGTAGGGGCCAAGGAGCAAGAATTAATTGACAGAGACAAGGTGGGCATAGTTATCATAATGGACAAGAGAATCAAAGTAGTGATCAAAATAGTTTGACTTGTGTAGATTTATGGTGCTGGTTATGTAGACAGGGTGTCCCTAAGAGCGATAAAGAAACCTACTAAATATCCATGTTAATCTGTAACAAGCAGAAGAATTCCATGTCAAGTGAATGGGAATCTAAACTTCAATCTCCAGAACAGAGAGTATGGCCTTTCAATCAATTCCCAGACTTGAACCAGTTTATAGACTCAGAATCCCTGGAATGAAAGGGAGGATGGATCCCCTTGAGGGAGGGACCCACCACACCATCAGAAAATTATACTCTCTCCCTTCCCCAAAGGGATTGAGGGCCTTTTAAAAGACTATCTGTTCATTGGGCAGAAAGAAATATCAGACTTTGGGGGGATTACTGGACACTGGCTCTGAACTGATACTCCAGGAGACTCAAAACATCACTGTGACCCACCAGTCAGAATGTGGCTATGTGTAGGTCAAGTTATTAATGGAGTCCTAACTAAGATCTGTCTCACAGTGGGTTCAGTGGGTCCCAAAACTCATCCCCAGTCATTTCCCCAGTCCCAGAATGCATAGTCATAATAGACATACTCAGCAACTGGCAGAACACCAACACTGGATCCCTAAAATATTGAATATTATGGTAGAAGGATCCAAGTAGAATTAATTAGAAAATAGTAAACCAAAAGTACTATCACACTCATGGAAGGATTGCAGAGGTTAGTACCACAATCAAGGGCTTGAAGTATGCGGGGTGGTGGCTCCCACCACATCCCTTTAACTCACCTACCTGGTCTGAGCAAAAAACAGATGGCTCTTAGACAATGGAAATGGACTCTCATAAACTTAACCAGATGGTGACTCCAATTGCAGCTGCTATTTCACTTGTTGTTTCATGGTTTAAGCTAACTAGTCCATCTCCTAGCACCTACTATGCAACTATTGATCTGGCCAATGTCTTTTTCTCAATTCCAGTTTTGAAGGATCACCAGAAGCAGTTGATCTTCAGTTGGCAAGGTCAGCATTATATCTTCACTGTACTATCTCAGAGATACACCAACTCTCCAACATTATGTCATAATTTAGTCTGCAGGAAGCTTGATTACCTTTCACTGCCACAAGACATCACACTGGTCCAATACATTGTTGGCATTATGTTTACTGGAACTGGTAAAGAAGAAGTATCAATAACTCTTGACTTATTAGCAAAGCATATGTGTGCCAGACAGTAGGAATAACCCAACAAAAATTCAGGCACCTTTCACCTCAATGAAATTTCTAGGGATTCAGTGTGTGAGGCATGTCGAGACATTCCTATTAAAGTAAAGGATAAGTTATTGCATCTGGCCCTTCCCACAACTAAAAAAGAGGCATAAAGCCTGGTGGGCCTCTTTGGATTTGGGAAGCAACATACCCTTCATTTGGGTGTACTTCTCAGGTCTATATATCAATGGACTCAAAGGTGCTAATTTTGAGTTGTTGTTGTTGTTGTTAAGTGTCGTCGAGTCGGTTCCGACCCATAGCGACCCTGTACAGGGTTTCCGAGGGTGTAAATCCTTACGGGAGTAGAAAGCCTCATCTTTCTCCCGCGGAGCGGCTGGTAGTTTCGAACTGCTGACCTTAAGGTTCGCAGCCCGATTCGTAACCACTACGCTACCAGAGCTCCAAATAAGAGAAGGATCTGCAACAGGTTCAGGCTGCCATGCAAGCCAATCTGACGCTTGGATCATGTGAACTAGCTGAGCCAGTGATAGTTGAAATGTCAGTGGTAGATAGAGATACTGTTTGGAGTCTTTGGCAGATCCATACTGGTGTATCACAGTGTAGATCCTTAGGATTTTGGAGCAAAGCCCTGCTATCCTCTGCAAATAACTATACTCCTTTTGATAATCAACTTTTTATGTGTTACTGGGCTTTACTAAAGACTAAACACCTACCCATGGGCCACCAAGTCACCATATGATCTCTGTTACCCATTATGAACTGGATGTTGTTTGACCCACAGAGTCATAAAACTGGACATACACAGAAGCACTCCATCATTAAATGGAGTGATATATATGAGACTGGGCTCCAGTAGGATCTGAAGGCACCAGGAAGTTGCATGAGTTAGTGGCCCAAATTTGCATGGTCTCTACTGCTATCACATCACTCTCCCTCTCTCAGTCTATGCCTATGGCCTCATGGGAAGTTCTTTAATACTAGTAGATGGAGGAAAAGAAATGTCAGGCTTGGTTTACAGATGGTTCTGCATCATTTGAAGGTGAAAAACAGCACCACTAAAATCCCTTTATGGAACTTCCCTGAAGAACAGTGGTGAAGGGAAATCCTCCCAATGGGCAGAACTTTAAACAGTGCAACTAGTTTTTCATTTTGCTTGGAAGGAGAAATGGCCAGATGTGCAACTCAACTCAACTCATGGGCTGTGGACAATGCTTTGGCTGGATGGCCAGGGCCTAGAAGGAAAATAGTTGGAAAATAGGTAACAAGGGGGTGTAAGGAAGGGGTATGTAGACAGAACTCTCTGAACAGGCCAAAAACATGAAGTGTTTTTATGAACGCACACCAAAGGGTTACCTCAGCAGAAGAGGATTTAACAATCAAGTGGAAAGGATAACACATTCCATAAAAATGAATCATCCTCTTTCTCTAGCCACTCCTGTCATTGCCCAGTCGTCTCATAAACAAAGTGGCATGGCCGTATGAATGTACACTATACATAGCCTCAGCAGTATGTGCTTCCTCTCACCAAAATTGATTTGGCTACAGTAACTGCTGAGTGCCCAAACTGCCAGCAGCAGAAACCAACTGAGCCCAAGACATGGGACCATTCCTCAGAAAGATCAGCCAGCAACCTGTTGGCAAGTTGATTACATCAGACCACTTCCATCAAGGACAGGCTAGCATTTTGTTCTTACTGGAAAAGACTCTTTGGATATGGATATGGATTTGTCTTCCCTGCACGCAATGCTTTTGCTAAAACTACTATCTACAGAGTTGCAGAATGCCTTATCCAACATCATGGTATCCTACACAGCATCGCCTCAGATCAAGGGAACCACTTCACAGCAAATGAAGTGTGGCAATGAGTCCATGCTCATGGAATTCGCTGTTCTTACCATGTTCCTCATCATCCAGAAGTAGCTGGCTTAACTGAATGATAGAATGTGTCTTCTAAAGACACACTTACAGTTCCAACTAGACAACAATACCTGGCAAGGTTAGGACAGTGTTCTCCAGGAGGCTGTACATGCACTAAACCAGCATCCAATGTATGGTGCTATTCCTCCAATAGCCAGAATTCATGGGCCCAGGAACCACTGGGTGGAAATGAGAGTGACGCCACTCACTCTTACTCCTAGTGACCCACTTTCAAAAGTTTTGCTTCCTGTCCTTGGACCTTACAGTCTTCGGGTCTGGACATTTTAGTTCCAAAGGGAGGAATACTCCCACCTGGAGACACAACACTGATCCCACTGTACTGAAAGTTAAGAAATCCCCCTGGCCATTCTGGGCTCCTCATGCCTCTTGATAGACAGGCAAAGACGGGAGCGACTATATTGGGTAGTGTGACTGATACTGATTACCAAGTAGAAACTGTATTGATATTACATAATGGAGATAAAGAAGAATATGTGTGGAATCCAGGAGATTCCATAGGACATCTCTTAGCAGGCCACTAGCTCAAGTGCAAAGAACTGGAAGTTGGAGGACAAGCCAGATGCAAGATCCAAAACAAGCAGAAAGCACACAAGCTTTGCCTGAATGTCTACTATAATGAAAGCAGGAAACATCCTTTCAATAGTAGAACTCATCATAGAGGTAGTTGCATTGTATTAGATCTCATTATGAGAATAACTACATCTCAATGGCCAAACCACTGAGAATCCTGGTCTGGTCAAATTGACAAAAAAAAAAACCTTAACTATCATAGTTCACCCATTATCAACTTTACCTTTACGTTTCTCCTTAAACCATAT